TCATTTGGGAAACATTAAAAAAAAAAAAAAAACAATTCAAAAGGGGGCTCATAATTCTGACTTCAACCGTATGTCATCGCAATCTCTTGCTTCATAAGAGATTGACAATGGCGAAGGATGATGAAACTTTAATACATTTATTTTGTATGTATGAATTTGTTTAGAAATTTTGGTTCGACTTTAATCTTTTAGTTTAAACGAAATTATTTGTTATTACTCTTTGTTAAGATGTTATTAATCTTTACATTAATCTATAGAACTAATCTTTTTTTTTATACATAAACAAAAATTCATGGCTTCCATCCCTACTTTTTAAAAATTTTAAACCCTTTTGGTTTTTGAGGGTGGTCATGAAAAATCTTTGTTTCCTAAGCCTCAAGCTAAAGAGAATCAGGACAAGGAGTAAAGGGAAGGGCTAGATATCCCTCGAAACAAAGATTTTTTTCAGGACCACACTTGAAACCAAGGGGTACCAAAATTTCCCAGAATACACCATCTAAAATGGTAGCATGGCTGCACACGAAAGTCAATAGATGCACAAATTAGTATTTTTTGTCATTATTATACATTTTTACAACAAACATGCATGTTTTAAAACATCCATATAACTGCGTTCATGTTATAACGTCATGCTTAAAAAAAATAAACTAAATAAAAAATAAAAAATAAATAAAACACAAAATTTTGCTATCTATAATCCCTAATAATAATTCCTGTGTAGTAGTCCCACAAAATTTTGTCACTCGATGACACTCGAATACCCTGTCAGAAAAGTCTAGTGGCTGGGAAAGACCTTTTTACATTGTATGGATTGTGTGTATTCATACATGAATATGGCCACGGTGTAAATATACAGTACAATTACAAGTTTTTGCCACATAATTTCATTTAGTTAACATAATATATTGTCACCTTAGAATTATAAGGTTCTATCTGACATTTTTATCAAAATTGAGGTAATGACATATCCTTTTTACATGACAAATTATTTACATTATGGGATGTTTTAAGTTGTTTACATTTTAGGACTTTTTATTTAAAAAAACAAATGTTACACACATACTGTTTGCTATGGAATGCAAAAACTTTGAAGCTCAATATCTCAAAATCATTAAGAACGCAGATAGAACCTTATAATTCTAAGGTGACGATATACCTTCAGTGATTTCCTAAAGATAAAAACCAAAAAAATAACGCAACTGCAATAACTACAGCAGTCATGATCGTCAATCGCATATAAAGCAAGAGATCTTGAATAAATACGATGACGTGTGCAGGTGTTGTGATGCTGTCCCATTTCTTAGGGATAAATTTTGGCCCTTCTTCTTCACACTGTTTTAAGGGCCAAGCAAAAGGGGACGGGGTTTTGGGGTGGGGGGGGGGGGGGGGGGGGGGGGTTTGTACAAAAATAGAATTAGGTTTGGGTCTTAATATGATATCCAGGAGTCACTTGAAATACTTTAAGGGCTAATGCACAATTTCTATTTCCTTCCTCGGAGCACTTCGTCATTGGAATTAATGTCATTATTAGGCCACTATAAAAAGCAGTGTAATTGGATTTAATTCCAGCATATGGCTTTAGGTAACTAACATGAACTTTTGGCAATGTCAGATTTGTCTGGGTGTGAAGAGCAAAAAAAAAAAAAAGGCTGCTCTCGATCGATGGTTGAACTGCAACAATGGAAGTTCTAGCACCACTATAAATAAACAGCTAATAATTATTGTACGTCAAACTGAATTTAACAGCTGCAATAACAACATGTTGAAGCACTCACAGGTAATCATCAAACAAAGTGGATTGACACCTTCAAGAAGCCACAACGAAGAAAAAAAAGGTCACTACTTACAGTAGCATCATGAAATGCAAGAGGAGAATCGGCTTGGCAGCAATTCACAGCACATTTCTGGTTATTCAGAACATAGCGAGACAATCTTTGAAAAGATCACCTTATATGAGTACACGTCAAAAATAAGATCAAATAAAAACGTGACTTCAAAGATTAAAGTTATACAAAGTCCACAATGACGGGCGGAAAATGATTTGATTGATTAAATACTGATGTCTTCTGAAGGGTCAGATGGAAAAATGTTCCATTGAAAAGAAAGAAACACATGCTACAGTCAGTGAGGAGGAAAATAACAACAATATTGCCTCTGGTGTGCATCACACGCATTAACATAGTACCTATGAGACAATAATGATAATGAAGGTCACGACTACAAAATAATTAATCAAGAAAAAAAAGCTTAAGATTGCCTCAGAATGTTTTCAGCTAGTGTGAATCCTTTGGTAATGACTATAATTTGAAGTAGATACCTTATATTAATCCATTTGTCTTTCTCTAATGGATCATCTCACAGCATCTCTGTGCAGGTGACCCTAAGGCAACACAGTAACAACTCTTATTGTGAATTACAGTTCGGTAATGAGCACAGTGATTATGTAGGGTTTATAACTGCAGTGTGCTGAAAATTGCTTGGTAACACTTTACAATGCATTTCAATTCTCTTACATAAGCTAATGCATTAGGTAGCATGAAATAACAATAAACAATATACTTACAGCATTTGTGAATTGAAGTTTGTAATCATTTAAACATACCCCAATTCATTTTAATGTGGATAAATTATGAACACAGATCAGTGACTATCGGTATATTAATAAAATGACAATAACCTAAATCAATTAAGGCTGTTAAAATGTTGTTTATTGTTACTGAATTTATGCATGTGAAAAAAAAAAGTTGTAAAGTGTTATTTATTGTTTTGATTCCGAGTATTAATTATTAATTTGACACTTTATTTTATCAGCAAGTGGATAGTTCACTCAAAAATAATTGTCATTATTTACTCACCCTCGTTTCACCACAAAGCCTTCATACAGTATGCCACATTGAAATCCAGTAAAGTGGATAAATGGTCTTGTTGACAAATAAGTAAGCCCAGTGTTCGAAAAATACTGCATAATAATATTTATATACAATGAATGAAATTTTAGTAGACGTCTGGTTAGTGTGATTTTGCACACCATGATTTTGCCAAGTACGATGCGATCCTGGATTAGCATCTATGCTGATCCTGGAACATTATTTTTGTTCAAAAATGTAATCCATATCTATTCCCTACCCCTGAACCCGACCATAAGTGTAAATTATCTCCAAAACCATAGGTGAAATAATAGTTAGATAACAATCATATAGAAGTGCATAAAACTAACCGCAAGCCTAAACTTAGCATAAACGATAAACATATCCCTTAATTCTGATTGGCTGATTGGAATGTTGTTCCAGGATCAACAAAGACATTAATCCAGGAACATTCCCGACTTGGGGAAATCAGGTTAGCGGTGTGATTTCACCATGTAAAACATGTTCCTTAATTAACAACTACACACACAGGCCACTTTATTAGGAACACCTTACTAGTACTGGGTTGGACCCCCTTTTGCCTTCAAAACGGCCTTAATCCTTCTTGGCATAGATTCAACAAGGTACTGGAAATATTCCTCATAGATTTTGCTCCATGTTGACATGATAGTATCACGCAGTTGCTGCAGACTTGTCGGCTGCACATCAATGATGCGAATCTCCCGTTCCACCTCATCCCTAAGGTGCTTTATTGGATTGAGATCTGGTGACTGTTGACGATGTTACAGTGAACTTATAGTCATGTTCAAGAAATCAGTCTAAGATAATTTGTGCTATGCTGTCTGACATGGTGTGTTAATCTTGCTGGAAGTAGCCATCAGAAGATGAGTACACTGGTCATAAAGGGATGGACATGGTCAGCAACAATAGGTACGTTGTGGTGTGAACATGATGCTCAATTGGCACTAATGGGCCCAAATTGTGCGAAGAAAATATCCCACACAGCATTAAACCACCACCACCAGCCTGAACCATTAATACAAGGCAGGATGGATCCATGCTTTCATGTTGTTGATCCCAAATTCTGACCCTATCATCCAAATGTCACAGCAGAAATCGAGACTCATCAGACCAGGCAACGTTTTTCCAATCTTCTATTGCCCAACTTTGGTGAGCCTGTGTAAACCGTAGCTTCAGTTTTTTGCTCTTAGCTGACAGGAATGGCACCCGGTGTGGTCTTCTGCTGCTGTAGCCCATCCGCCTCAAGGTTGGACATGTTGTGCTTTCAGAGATGCTCTTCTGCATACCTCGGTTGTAATGAGTGGTGATTTAAGTTACTGTTACCTTTCAATAAGCTCGAACTAATCTGGCCATTCTCCTCTAACCTCTGGCATCAACGAGCCATTTGTGCCCACAGAACTGCTACTCACTGAAATAGTTTTTTTCATACCATTCTCTGTAAACCCTAGAGATGGTTGTGCGTGAAAATTCCAGTCGATCAGCAGTTTATGGAAGTCTCAGACCAGCCCATCTGGCACCAACAACCATGCCACATTCAAAGTCACTTAAATCACCTTTCTTCCCCATTCTGATGCTCGGGTTGTACTGCAGCAAATTGTCTTGACCATGTATTCATGCCTAAATGCATTGAGTTACTGCCATTTGATTGGCTGATAAGAAATTTGCATTAATGAGCAGTCGGACAGGTGTACCTAATAAAGTGGCCAGTGAGTATGTTGATCCTGAAACAACATTCCAATCCGCCAATCAGAAATAAGTTTACGTTTACAGTTTATGTTAGGTTTAGGATTATGTTCTTCTACAGATTGTTATCCAAATATTATTCCTCTCTGATTTTCGGAATGATTTACAGGTATGGATTATTATTTTTTTTTAACAAAAGACGATGTTCCAGGATCAACATCGATGTTAATCACACCCACCGGGATTTTTTTCTGTAAGTCTTGCATAAATAAATTATTAAAATAATTAAATAAATTATTATCTTTCCGACTATACTGTACAGTGGTTATGGTTGACCCATATACAGTATTCAATTCAATTCATGATTATTTCCATAGATTGTGTCAAAGCAGCTTAACATAGACATTCTAGTAAATTGAAACTGCCAGCCCAGTTTTCAGAGTGAAGTTCAGTTTAGTTCAGTTCAGTGTGGTTTAGTATGATGGTGAATATAGTATGATAAAATCTCCATTTTAAATGAACTATCCAATGTATGCAGTGTGACCCAAGCTGCAAGTGCCAAATGTATTGCCATATCATAGTATGGGGCTGTAGATACAAGTCCAAGACAGGATAAAAAAAATCTGTAAATAATTATATTTTTAAGTTCCAAAGACACTTACTTTCCTTGATTTGCTTTGGGTGGTGTTGATTTTGCCATTTTTGTTTTTGGTGTAGACACAGATAGCTGTGCCAACTCTGGCTGAACTGAAAGGTAAGAGTCTATGGAACTTAAAATTCATTTTACGCATGCACATTTTACCCAATAGATTGATATAATATGCATTTCAAAATAAAATATAAAATACTATATAATATATTACTTTGATCTTAACTTACTTTCTTTTGTGTGTAAAATTATGCTATAAAAATCTAGAAATATATGCAAACTTTTGCAATCTACCTACCGATTAAATTCCAAATATTACAAAATGGATCTACTCTCTCGCTGTTATTGTGCTGATTCAGGGTAGAGCTTAATACTATCATATGTAACATGCAGCGACAATGGGTTCTGACATGTTAAATGCATTAAAATAATGGGTGACTATAACTAAAACTTGAATAAATCCAAAAGAAAACCATCAGCGCTCAGTCAAGACCAGAAGATGCTCCTGCCATCATTTCTAAGATTTCTCTGCCTGATGGCTTCTCCTCCAGTTGAAGGCACTATAGATGGCTCTGAAAGCTCTGCTTACATGAAAGCCGGTCTGGTTTTGACTGATGGCTGGATGACATGTTCCCATTCAAGTGAACGATCTACCAGGATTGTAAGAAACACCAAAAGTCAGGGGGTCACATGCTATGCAAGGCATTTTTTTTAACTAACGCTGTCTTGGCCTAAGGATTTTTCGCACCTTGACTTCTTACAGTTGTTCTCTCAGCCATAAAAAGGACGAGATTGTGTGAGAGGAACATTGTGAATCTCTTTTTTTTCCCTGGTACCTGAAGAACAAAAGGCAAAGATCTCTGCCAGAGAATTGCAACCACTTAAAGAGCTTGTAGCAAAATCCATCCTGACCATATAAAAACAGCCTGGTTTTAAGGGTTTTGATTTATCTGCTGTAGCTTTCGGTTTCTGTGGTCTCATTTGTCACTTTCGTCTTCTACAGGAGAAGTCCTTGAATCACCACAGCTCAACTTTGATAACCAGTATCCGCTCTTTTGTTTTAAAACATACCTTGAAAAGTCCTGGTTTAGTCCATGCTTCGTTTCTGCTCTGACAGAACCAAAAGTCAAGTCTGTTGCTTCATGAGGTGTGTGGGAATGCTAAAGATACAAGTAGCCTACCCAGTAGACAACATTGAACAATAGGAAAGAGGTGGGAAAGAAGACACGAGAGTATGCATCGAGTTCCAGGATGTCTATATGCACACGGCCCTTTCGCCACGCTCCATCTTTGCACTCCTCGTAGCAGCAGAAGAAACTCTGGCAGTCTTTTCCGTCCAGGCACTCATAAACGCAGGCATCGTCAAACTCCTGCCAGTACATGGAGTTGTTGAGAGTGATAACAGTGGGAGGAGGACCCACGTCCAGTACCGAGTAGTTCTGTAGGACAAAAACAACACACTTACAATCTGAAGAACTCATTTTTGCAATATGCAAAAAGAAAACATGAAATATGCAAATAAGCACTTGAATAGAAGTACAGATATGCTAAACATATTACTCCACTAAAGGTATAAAGTTCTAAATATAAAAGTTAAAGATGCAATTATATTTGAGTTCTACTCTATCCTCCTCTAATAATAACCCTTGCATTAGCTGCTCTGAAAATCTACCTATCAGTCCATTTGTCTGTCTCTGTTTGTCTACCCCAGAGACGCCCAAAGTAGGACCCACGGGCCAAAGTTGGCCCATTGTAACCCTTGAGTTGGCCCACCATCCCATCTTAGAAGAGTGGAAGAATGATAGAGGGGGATGGGGGTTATTGCTAAGCTACAAAAAAAAAGTAATTAAATGTTTCAATTAAATGTTGTAAATGAATCTGAGTTTTTAAAATATAAATAATAGGGCTGCACGATATTGGAAGAATTACACATTGCATATTTTTTTTATTCTGCAATATATATTACGATATAAATACAATTTTACTATGATTTGTAAAGTAACTTGGATTGTAAAGCATTTTTAATTTTAGATTGATTTGGAAGATTATGTAGAGCAGTGGTCACCAAACTTGTTCCTGGAGGGCCGGTGTCCTGCAGATTTTTGCTCCAACCCTAATCAAACACACCTGAACAAGCTAATCAAGGTCTTACTAGGTACTTGAAACATCCAGACAGGTGTGTTGAGGCAAGTTGGAGCTAAACCCTGCAGGGACACCAACCCTCCAGGACCGAGATTGGTGACCCCTGATGTAGAGGAATGCCTAAAATATGATAATCTACAAGCATAGATAAATTCAATAAAGGAGAATCAAAATCAAGGCAAAAACTAGTGTAACTCACTTCTGTTATAGATTCGATTTTTGTTTTTACTTAAGTTCATTATAAAATGTAAACTGGTATTAGTTCTCATAATGCAATGTTTTCAGGTTATGTTTAAATTTTATTAATTAAATTAGGAAATTACTCATGGCAACTATAATTACCATTGGCCCACTAGTCTCAAAATTTTGGTTTTTGGCCCTTTATAAGAAAATGTTTTGGGACCCCCTAGTCTGCACACACACAGACACACAACTGGTTCTTCTGCAGCTCTTTGTGGAAGTTCAGTGGTTCTTTGACTCTTATAGAGAAGCCAGTTTAAGTTATATATAGCACCCGTAGTGGTTCTTTAGTTATTCTTTGAGGTGGTTAAGTTACTACATATCACCATCTTCAAAGATATAGGTGCTATGTAGCACCCAAAATAGTTCCCCTATGATTACAAGCCAAACAGCTGCTTTTAGTTCAATCGAATTCAATTCCTGTTTATTTCTATAACACTTATACAATATAGATCGCGTCAAAGCAGTTAAACATAGAAGTTATAATAAATTAAAACTGTGTCAGTCCAGTTTTATAGAGTTAAGGTTCAGTTTAGTTTAGTCCAGTGTGGGGGAATTTTCACTGCTGGAAGTCCAAACAATGAAGAGCAAATGCATTGAAGTCCCAGTTAGCTAATAAGATTTAGCCCAATTTTTAAAGTGTACAGTATATGAATTTATTTAACATTTTTGATCTAACACTAATAATCTCTTTTCTATTCAATTTTTCTACCTTACAAGGCTTCAATCCTCTAAAAAACACTTTTAATGAAACATACTAACTATTGTTTGCATATACAAAATAAACAAACACAGAAAAATGCTTTGCACACAAACTGAGCACTGCCTTGCATCTCTGGACGATTTCTAAAGTTTTTCTACAACAATAATTACAATATTCCACAAAATTAAAACAAATAAATAAAATACACCAGTGATTATGAGTGATTGTCTTTGCATTTTGTGTGCACTGTACACAATACATGACCCAAAAGAAATAGAGAAGTGTATGCTCATGCATCTAATCTTTGCCGTAAGCAAAATAAAGCCTTCACAGGGAGCTGTCATTCAAATCGTAAGATCATGGTGGCTTTTAAGAGATTCCACTCACTTGAACTAACAGTGTTTTCTCCGGTGGGCAAGGCAAGTGTGACATCAGTCTCTCACAGGCAGGTACAGCGACCTCAAAATCTGAGCGTGGCTGTCTAAATCCTTCCTCTAAACCCTTTAGATCATACAGCTAAAACTCTCCAGCAATATTCTGACACTTATTCCCAGTTATTCTTCTCATTACTGTGACTACTAGCAAAGCATGGTAATTAAGCTGCCGAAAGATAATCTATGTGAGATCACCTACAGTATAGGGTTATATTTGTTTTGTGTAAAATTGCTATGGTAATTATCCGTGCTTCGGAGCAGAGATAAGATCTAATCAAAAAGAGTGATTGTCGAGAGTGGGGAAATTTCAACAGAGAGACACAATGAAGAAAAAAGTAAGATGTGCTTGCTCAACCATAATTTAGCATCGTATTATACAACTAAATCAGCCTAATGAAATCCTATTTCCATAGCATCCAAAGAAATCGCTTTTATCAAATACATAAGGAAAAAGAACTTCTGCCTGTATATGCTGGAGTAAAAGCCTATCACAATTTTTTTTTTTACCAAAGTATAACACTTGTAGACTTGTAGCATAGACATTCTGCATTGAATGGGTATTATATGCATTATATTGTGTAAGGATGTAATGACTTACCTGACATATTCCACCCAGGCTCATTATTAAAAAGTACCCCTATATACATTTCTGGAGATCGCAAAATATGTCCCAGGAGTTTTTTTTTTTATTTTTATTTATTTATTATATATATATTTTTTTTGCAGTTTTTGTTTTCGTGAACCTACCAGAGGCAGCTGTGCATACTTTTTCAGATTTCAAATTTCTCTTACGAGTGCCATTCGCACCTGCTGTTCTCGCGTAAATCCACCAGAGGCCGCTGTCGACTGACTGACTTACCGATCTCCCCACCCATCGCCTTTCCTAAACCCAACCGATAGTGTTTTCAAAAGCACCAATTGACCTGTTCACCCCCTTCCCTAAACCCAACCGAAAGTGTTTTCAAAAGAAATCCAGAAAAAGAAAAGCCCTCGCCTAATTTTAACCATGTTTTCAGATCTTACCACATTCTCACCCTGTTATATTACTTTACTTATTTTTGCCTTTTGTTTTTGTTCTACCTGCTTTCTGGAACTAATCTTCACCAGACTTGAACCCTGTCGTCAACTGCTCTTAGCGTTTTAAGTCCGCTGACGTACATGGCGAGCTACTGGGCAAACTGGCAACAGTGTAAATGCCGTCAACATGGCGGGAAGTGATCAGCTGGTAGTGCGGAAAAAAACAGAAGCCATAGGCAGTGTTATACTGCACCGTAGCATTCGTTTTGAAAATGTAATGCAGCAATACATAGCTCTGGCTACATAATTCACACTCTCCAGGAATGCCTACAGGAGTACATTTTCACAACGAGCCTGTGTTGATATTAATACCAGATAACTTGACTCAGACTGGTCAATCATTGCTGTGTATACAATAAATATGCATAAAGACACTCTGTGTAAAATATTAAGCAGCACGACTGTGTATGCTATACAACATTGAATATAGTAAATACATTTTGACCTGAAGTGGATAGTGTCTGCTTTAATTTCAGCTTTGTCATAGACATAATTATTAGCTATCATGTGAAATTCATTCATTCATTCATTCATTCATTCATTTTCCTTGGCTTAGTCCCTTTATTCATCAGGAGTCACCACAGCGGAATGAATCGCTTACTTATCCAATATGTGTTTTACACAGTGCCCTTCCAGCTGCAACCCAGTAATGGGAAGCATCCATACACATTCATTCACACACATACTCTTCAGCCAATTTAGTTTATTCAATTCACCTTTAGCGCATGTCTTTAGACTGTGGGGGAAACCGGAGCACCAGCAGGAAACCCACACAAATACGGGGAGAACATGCACACGGATCCGGGGAGAACGTGCACACTCCACACAGAAATGCCAGCTGACCCGGCCGGGAACCAGCGACCTTCTTGCTGTGAAGCAACAGTGCTAATCACTGAGCCACCGTCTCACCACATCATGTGAAATTGTAATTATTTTTTAAATAACGCCCAAATGCTGTTTAATAGAGAGTTTTCCTGCAAAAAACACAACAGTTTGAATAACATATTTATTTTAACAAATTTCTTTTGTTTTTGCTATGACAACACATGATAGTTTACTTGTATTTTACAAGATACAGTACTATCATTTAGCTTAAAGTTAAATTTAAACACTCTCTTCATTTGGTTTAGATAGTTTAATTAGACAAGTTCATTGTACAACAATGTTTTTTTTCTGTAGTTAACATAAAACAGGGGCGAGGCAGTGGCGTAGTAGGTAGTGCTGTCGCCTCACAGCTATAAGGTCACTGGTTCGAACCTCGGCTCAGTTGGCGTTTCTGTGTGGAGTTTGCATGTTCTCCCTGCCTTTGAGTGGGTTTCCTCCAGATGCTCCGGTTTCCCTCTCAGTCCAAACACATGCGGTACAGGTGAATTGGGTAGGCTAAATTGTCCGTAGTGTGTGTGGATGTTTCCCAGAGATGGGTTGCGGCTGGAAGGGCATCTGCTGCATAAAAACTTGCTGGATAACTTAGCGGTTCATTCCGCTGTGGTGACCCTGTATTAATAAAGGGACTAAGTCGACAAGAAAATGAATGAATAACATAAAACAATTTAAGAGGGCTTTTAATATTGACCTTGAAAACTTATTGAACTAACACCGCCTCAAGAAGACAACTATAATAAAATTTATGCTTATAGTGCAAAAGTATTCATATTCTTTTTTTTATTCTATAAAAACACACTGCAAAACACTAAAACTTTTTAATCTATTCTTTATTCTTTGTATGTTTTATAGATATATTTTTAGACTATTATTCTATAACAATTAATGATAATTATTGTTAATTACACAAACACACAAAGTAAAACTTATATCAAAGCTATCATCAAAAATCCCTTGAAAATACTGAGTTGTGGTTTTTTAGGTAATGATGCACATCCCTACTCTCTCAATCAAAACAAAAAACAAGCTGATTCCAAACTAAAAGAATTAACTCCTGAATACATCCAAATATTGGCCATGGAATATGTCAATATATATCTTTACGAAATGAAATCTAATAAATATCCAGAATCTCATGGCGTTCCTGTACCAGCAAGACAGTAAAACCTTACATATCATATCATGTGAACAGGATACACATCTTTCTCCTAAAAACAGAACCCAATCTCAGCAGCATAAAATCACTGATGCAGAACAAATGCTCACCGATCGTTTGGTCTTGTTGCAGGTTGGTCTGCGGGCGCTGTAGGAGTAATAATTGAGTGTGGCATACTCCATGAGAGCCGCGAAAACAAACAAGAAGCAGACAGTGACGAACAGGTCCATCGCTGTGACATATGAGACCCTGGGCAGCGATGTCCGAGCCACCGTGCTGAGAGTAGTCATGGTTAATACCGTTGTTATTCCTGCATAACCAGAAGAAAATATTAGACGGAAAGGCTGGTGACAGGGGAAATGTCTGCTAATGAAAAATATGAGCTAAATCACCTAATGCGTATGCTGACATTGTTAGCATGTGTAAAATGTAGTTTGATATCTCGGCTGAAAAGAAAACACTGTCATTTTTTGGCTCTAAGCAAATTATGCTGTGCTATTTTACTCTGCAGAGCTGATTAAACGCCATAAGACTCCATTGCTTTGGCTGTTATGAGGCAGACATGACAATAATGTAACTTGTACATAATCATGTAAATGAATTAAGCTTATTGGAGAATTTTTATCAATATAATGTGTGTTCCAACGATTTTAGTGTATTCAGTCTTGCTGTAGTTTTATATCTACTCTACTATTTTATTCTCATGATTTTCAACTATTCAAAGTGAGACACTTAATGCAGGTCATTATGTCATTATAACCATTATCAATATACATCTCATATGCACCTTTTTTAACCATTTATTATGAATGTCATTAAAATATTATCACTATTAATAAAATGATACTAAGGTGATACTAAGATACTAACTGCATTTATTTGATCAAAAAACAAAGATGTGAATAATAATTATGTAAGGAATAATTAATAATGGGCTGTTGAATTATTAGTAGGGTAATGGACCTTGAATGTGCATTACTTTCTAAGGCTTTCATGGAGTAAGTCAATTATTTCTTTTATTGTTACCACACTAAAGATGCTGTTCAGATTTTGCATTATAAAAACTTATCAGGTATTTTGTTCAGTAACTACTAATTTGTGCACTACTAGTTTCTTAAACATCTTTTCCAAAGTTTTGATTTGATTTTTGACAGTGGTAGGCTACAAAGCAATTCAGAATGGTATTATGGAAGTGTAATGCAGTCAAGACATGTCTGAGAGTAATTTAGCCTTGGGGTTGAATTAAGCATTCAACAACCCTGCAGTACAGGTGTATCTTCATTTATATATGCAGCATCTTACTGTACTTCATAAGTAGGCCCACACAAAATCTGCGCACACAGAAATCCACAAATTTCAGCAGATTGTGAGCCCATCATTAGGTCTCTGTATTTACTTGTGCAAATGTGTGTAAATTTATATTTACTCAGTTTTTAAAATTGATTTCACTAATGTTATGGTAATATATTATTACTAATATTAAAGTGTTCACGGGATTTATTTACAATACAGTTTGTAAAGTAATATTTTCTGTCTTTTAGTAGATAAATTATATGAGAGACTTGCTTTGTTTACCAAATAAGTGGACCTAATTGCATTTGCATTGTAGACAATAAATAAATATTACATGTATAATGTATTTTTTTTTATTTCACGTTTTAAGTTTTTAGTTATGATACTCCCAAAATCATTCTGCATAAATCTGTGTGGATTTTTTTTACATAATTTTCCACAGAAATAGCAAAAAATGTCTGCAGATTATGTGTGACCCTACTCATAAGTAGATATTCTGTACATTGTGATATAATAAATGTATGTGACATTATTATTGACACACCTATGACCTCACATGAGAAAATTGTAAAGTACAGTTCTATTGATATTTAAAATAAAATTGTACACCTCTGTGACTAGGAACACAAATTTGTTCAGCCATTACCTACTGTTTCACATGGCTATAAATATGTGGTATCACATATAGTAGGCCAAACTTTATCACAATGGGTAAGATCAAAAAACTGTGATTTAGTGGCAAAAAAGTTTATAAATGAGAAGCATTTTTAAGAAAATGCCAAAAACACTGACAAGGCCCACAAACAGGGCAATAATTAAGAATTCAAGTCACGTGGAAGTGCTTTGAATCTGAACACTGTAAAATATCCATAAATTAGCAGTTTTCAATATTTTATGATTCATGCTTTTATTTTCCCCCTTTTATTTGTGCTTTTGAACTGATTTAGATGACCTTGGTCTTTCTTCCAACAACTTTTAACCATGAAAAGTTAGAAGAAGTGACTTTTATGAACAATTTTAATGGTTTAAAGTGATATATTGTCTGGGTTGGGGTTGTATATTACAGAACAAAAAAAAAAAAAAAAAAAAAACGGCTAGTACATTATTTTTTATTTTACAAACTTATTTCTCTATATATTAATTTCTTATACATTATATTATTTCAAACTACTAAAATGTCAATAAATGTCACTTTGTTAAACTGTTCATTAGAATTTTTAACTTTAAAAGTTGACAGAGCAGTAGTAAACATCCCATAAAGCAATTCACAACCGTAAATAAATGTAAAACGCTTATGAATCATGAAATACATGAATCATGATATTTTTTACAGTGTAGTAGAGAAGTATGTCTTTTTTACTACTGTTAAGAGAAAGGTTAAACAAAAAAAAAGCTTCAAGAATCAAAACTGGAGAAGTACAGGAGTGAGTTGGGTCTTGTCATGGGGACAGAAAATCTCCAAAACTACAATCTGACATCTGAGGGACGCCAGTATTTGACTAGGCCACTATAAAGCACCACTACAGCAAATTCCATGCCTTTATTGTTATGTTTTTCTTTCAACAAGATAGCGTTCCAGATGCTGAAGTTCTTTTGTTGTGTTTCATAGGAACATAGACACCTGCAAATGAAAAAAAATATCCACCCACATGAACAGACAGAATCTGAGAAGCGAGTACAATCTCAGCTCCGCTCTTGCATGGGCATTTAGAGCTGCCTCAGAGAACCAGTGACTGTGCCCCTGTTTTGCAAAGGTTTCTATGGAAACAAGCAAGCTTCATCTATTTCAGACAGAAAATTCGCACTCCATTTCTTTTTTTTCCTCAGCTGTTGCTGGTCATTACCTTCACCTGTTAGACTGACCTCCCCTCATACAGTGGCACTTAGTTAAATGACTGCCTGCTTGAGTTAGAAAAGCATGTGAATGAAATATGCATTTCAAAATGGTACTATTTCCTGAACAGCTAAGCTCCATTTTAGCCTCATTAGTACTCTGACATTTTTATTTTATTTAATTTTTTTTTGCAATGGATAAGAATGGCATAATAGCTGGTTAACATTGTAATTCTGTACTTTTCCATGATGGTATAGCCTGGCTGTTGGGTTGTGGATGAAAAGAGTAACTATTGACTTTAGAACAGCAGTTTACTGGGTTTATTGCTGCTTTACTCTTGGTTTATTAAACTTTTCTGTGTGTAACGATTTCTGCCTATTAAAATTGACACATTTTTTATTATTATCAACATAATTTAAACTATTGTTCAATGTCTCCAAATCCACTATTATTTCCCAATTAATTAAAAACATATCAAAAATTTGATAAAAACTGGCAAACTAAGGAGTTATATCAAACCACCAATCAGGGGTGCATTTCCGAAAACCATCATTAGCCAGCTAAGACAACAAGTTCTGTTGTTACAAACATAGTTCATTGATTTGGGATTTCCTAAATCCATTGTTTCAATGAACATTCGAAAACTTGTTTACAACTACACTGTAGCTGTAGTAAGAATCATAGTTCCTGGCTGTGTTTTATTCCCCATCATTCCTCCTAAGCCCTATTTATTTAGAATATTACAACATTTAAACTTAGAATGATTAAAAAATCATTAAAAGCATCTCTCTTAAGCCTCATTAACACTACAAGTGACTCGCAGCGCCAAATCGTAAAGCGACCGTTTATTTCAACAGAGAGCGAGCGACTTCCAGCGACCTCATGAGCAACAGTGAGAGTTGGTGACCAGGTGGGCGAGTCAAGCGACGCAACAAAGTTAAGAATCCTTCAACTTTAAGCAAATAAAGAGTGACAGCCAATGGAAGCACCAGTTCAACAGGCCAACCAGGCCACTTGTATTCATGCTGTACATACCAAACACAGACCTGCGTTTACAGCAGATCCCCACCCAGAGCAACAGGCAACTATAAAATCGCTGCTAGTGTAAATGAAGCATTACATGTAATTTGCTTTTAAAGTATATATTACAGTTCAGTTTGAGTGAGATGTTGACAATTGGGCTCCATTCTTTGAATACATTTGTGCCATTTTGATTGATGCCGTGGCTCATGACATAAGCTATAGGTGACCTAAGGAAAGTGGAATCTAAGTTACATCTTAAAAGCTTGTAAAAACAAAAATATACAGGTTACTTTAATGGTTTTAATTTTATAGGAGCATAGGCTATTTACTAATCATATATATGTACTGTATTGGGCCTATGTGCTAGAAAATGACTGCAGTGGTTTTAATGTGTCAAAGTTGTAAAAATAATTGCCAAAAAAAACATGCTTAAAAAACTAAAACCATTAAGATGATGATTTTTATATGGTATTAGAATATTTGTTAGCTTTTTGTAAGTAGTTTTATGTTTTAGAATAGCACATGGAATATTTGTAATAATATTTGTAAAGCAAACATAGGCCCTATATGTGTCTTATATTTACATATAATTTGATTAATGTGTAAAAGGAGCGCTTGTTTTAACTAAAAACAGTAAGTTATAACAAAAGTTATGGGTTTTTTCCTCTAAAGAAGTTGTTACTCCACTCAGTTTAGAGCGTCATTGAACATTTTACACTATGGTTATAACTAATGTGATAACGTGGCTGTTGAATGCCTTGAAAGTTGCCTAGATTGATCTTTAGAAATACTTTAATTCTTCTAACTAAACATAGTATAAATACAGTATATTTAGTCACCTTAAATAATACACACTTCTATACACGCATCTAGACACCCATTTCTTATCTTTCCACAGTATTAGGCAACCTTCTGGACCTTTCTTTGGTCATGCTAATGCACCTATGCACAGAGCGGAGAATGTGTAAGACAGACACTGACTGCCCAGACCAGTAGACCTCTGGGATAAATTTGAACAATGATCTCAGTGAGGCTCTTATGTCTGAGAGGAAGCAAATCCCAGCAGCCGTGTTTCAACAAAGTGGAAAATCTTCCCAGCAGAGAGAAATTTGTTAAATGGAGAAAGAATTACCTATTATTGCCCCTGGTTTTTAAAAATT